AAGAAAATGTACTTACCGAGTTGTTCATTCTAAGTTGTTTTCTGTCTGATCCACTACTCCTGCCGTCCCCATATATATACGCTATAGGCTCTTTTTGTTAGATCAGGTATTGCTCCCATTGGTAGAGTCTCATATCATTGGTCCGTCAGAAGCAATCGATGTGACGTCATCACAAAGGCGAACCACGCTAATGAATCTGAGCGGAAGTCCTTAACATCCATACATTGTCAAATAATCCGGCGCAGTTCTGTCATTTGTTCACAAACCCTAAAAATCAATTAATTTTCAATAAAAGCGAAATTACGGATTCGAGCATCATATTTGCACTCGTTACTATGCTATAAAAGTGAGATAGAACACATAACCAACTTCCTAGCGTCCTATTATAAACCAGCTTGTGACAGCACCCAATGTAATTATGTCAGTCCGAGCTAAATCTAGCACGCTCGATTTTACTGTCATCCGTTTACATGCTAACCCGTCCAGGACGCTCATATACATCAAAGGCGTGGTCACTATTGCCATGGTGTTGCCTGTGACGTATACCCGAATCCCAGATCACGTATTACTAATTCCTCAGGGTTAGCCGGCCAAAGTAGCCATGCTATAAGATTCATCTTGTTAGTCCTCGCCAGGGCTCCGAGTATCTTTTACAGAAAATGTATTACACGCTTTCATATTCACAGGTTATACCAATAATCACACGACATGGATCTTAATATATTTGTCAGTATTACATTTGTCATAATTGAAATCACACCTATATATTACAATCGACCGCATTGTGAGTGTTCTACTTAGTATCAAACAATCATTTAGATGGTATCGCTATGTAACATAAGACATCTTACCACAGTTACCTGATATTCATCGTTCTTTGTCTACGGTTCAGACACACAAATATCAATACAAATTTATTTTCGTTTCAACATTATTATATCAAACAATTACATTTAACATTAAATCGTAATTCGATTGACATTTATCGAATTTAGCCAACAATACTGGCTACACCTTTTTCAGTTCTATTGACGCATACGATGCAGTAGAATAGGTAAGTCATTATCGAATCCCTTGCCATCTAGAATACAATAGAGTACTTCTTTTTTCTTTCTATAGAAGGTTAGAATTTACGTGACTTCTCAAATGTATTTTTCTTGCCATATCATATCAAGGACATTGTAAATGAATGCGTCTGTATCATTTTCAATAATTCTGCAGATTTTATATTTTACCAGGTCTAAACTCAATTGGAGTTTTATTAAATAAAAGGAAAATGTATCGTGAAGTGCTATTAGCATATATGACGACATTTAAAGGCTTAGGCCGTGTGTTCTTTTATCAAATATGTACCTTTTACTTCAATGAAGCCGACATTTACGCAGTACCCGTTGCCCTGTGACGTTTGTGTCAATCAGTGAGGTGTAGAAATTATAAGTCAAAGTTCACCCTTACATACCGAATCACTGGTGTCTAGTATTACGGGAGGAAGTGTTTGGTTTCGCAATCTTACGTCCATCTTACGTCCATCTTACGTCCATCTACCTGTAATATTTTCAAAAACTGAAAGTCTCACAAAACTATCACTGATTACAATGACGCGATATGAATGTTGTGAAAAATACGTTTTCTTGTCAAAAGACGGATACGAATGTACCTAACTAGGTTGCATTTGTGGAGCACGTATAGGTGCATGTAGCTGACACACAAAAAGTATCCTTTGTCCTCAGAGAATAAAGTACAGTCATAAGTTGAGTAAGTCCAAACAAAACGTTGTGGCAGATGGCAGGAGTGAGTATTCAGTTTGAGGTACATATCTGGACGATCTTTTGGATTATAACTGCGCTCATACAAAGTGGGCGTTACAGAAAAAAATATATATCACAAGTTGTTATTTCCAAAAAATAAAAAAAAATAAAAAAAATAAAAAATTGGCGCTATTCAGTATTCCGTTACGAAAAAATTTTCAGAACAATTTTCCCTTATTTTATTTTCCCCATGCAGACAACAATGACAACTTGTACTTTATTTATACATTTTCTGCATGCTACAAGACACAAATATAATTTTTATACCGAACGTAACTTGTGAAAAGCGAAAATAGGACTTCCACTGAACGCAGAGGGAATGCTCTTAACGGTGACAGAGGTCATTGTGAAGACGTCCGGTCTGGGGACAGACAGCGAGATATTTGCGTTGCAGAATGGAAATTGCATTATTATAAAATATCTATAAATTTGATATATAAATTCTGAATAGTACTAAATTAATCATTTCCGTGTAGGGTTTGAGGTTTCTTCATATGAATCAATAGTGTCCAGCAAACAGCTCGCGTGCAGGTCAGTCAGGAGTCAGGTCAGTATCGCCCCGTACACAACACACAATTAACCTATGCTTCTTGGCATTATAACGACAAAAATCGATGTCATTATCTATAGAGGTGAAAAAATTGTTACCTCTAGATTTAATTATAGGTTTGAGACGGATGATCATTACGTCAGCAAACATTGAACCAGACATAACCTCATCAACGTGTAAACACACATGTATATTTCACGGCGACATCTTCACTAATCCGTGTCTATTAGCTTCGATGTGAAACATTGAGGGTGGATGACGATGATTGCGCATACAAATTGTATATAACACGCTAATAAAATATTATTGTAATTTATAATGAAACTGAGGTAAGTATATAGTTTTTTTTTCTTTCCAGAGAAATGGGCTTCTGTGAAAACACCGCATGTAGTCGCATAAGTGGAGATCAGCGGTTCGGCACAGAAACATTGGAATATTCACGAAGGCACACAGAAATAATTATTAATTATTTCAGGCGTGTCTGTGGTTCCTAAAAATAGTGTGTTTTCGTTAAGAGAATGTTTTGGTGACCAAACATTTCCATTTATTCTTTGTAATTCCCCACCATGTACCAACAATCATTCACCTCGTCAGAACAGACTTATTTTTTTAAAATATGATTTCTGCGCCTTCATTGAAGATCAAAAGTCGTATTTTATAATGCAAGTGTTGCTTCTACGTAATGACAGTTTTCAATCATGTAAATTTCAATCTTCGAAAAGCCTTTTGGATATTGAGGTTTCGGTTTTAGACACACTAGTCTGTTCAGCCAAAACCCAAATATACGTAGTACCAATCCAATGAGATTGTGCTTCAACACAAGGACAGAATGGGTAAGATAAATTCGTCCATGGAGTTTGTTACATACTTTCTTCATTTTCAAAACCTTCATTAACGATATTCATTGATGTCAATTTCACTTTCCGCATGTTTTAACATTGTTACTGGCCATTACGTGTGGTCACTGTCGTCGTTATATGACATACAGTGACTTTGAATGCCTAGTGCTACGATGCATAACCGAATACAGGCTAAACTCGATTGTAAGCTTCCAATTGCTTCCTTACTTTACAGAACAAAGATTCATAGACTATATCATTTTACCAAGACGTCATTATGACAAATTGGAGGCACCCTGCGATATTAAAGATACAAATAAATACAAACAGTGGTCGAAAAGTTTGTTTTGGGTCTTCAACTTAAGTTAAATAATCTTGGTAAATTATTTCAAGTGTTGCCTCGCAATAAAAACGGCGTTTTATGTACTCGTCCACTCAGCTGGCGAAAAGTTATCCTAATTACATAGAGGTGGCGACTGTTGTCCTAAAGTACTTCCGCAAGGTACCGTATTACAACGATCAAAATAACTATCTTACTGTAAAATCATAAAATTATCAAATGTATTACAAAAACCAGAGCCATTTACACAGGTGAGTGTAAGGCAAGAGATTGTCTCGGGTTACAACACTAAGAGACAACACTGAGATCAGGATAACCAGCGATGACAGACACAAACTGAGTGTGTACGGTATATACGTAGTGTCTCTAGATTGTAAAACAGACATGTATAACCAACTGGACCTTCCGTGCTAACATAGACAAGTAAACGCGACATCTGCTTGTAAAAATGTTACAAGTAGTACCACACGCTTTTTAAAAAAGACATCAGAGTAACCACTTTACTTTAGGTGGGTCCCATCATAGTTTCTACATTATCTTGAGTAAATTCCCATTGGCGTTGTTAAGGTAGGTATAGTATAGCTATATCAATAGGTATGTAAATGAGGATACACCAGTATGTGTTTGGTCAACATTTATTAAAGTGATTTGATGAATATAAACACAAATATTTATTTCCTTTTTTTTTTTATTAACGGAACAGGAAATGAAATAAAATGCAAACAAGTTGTACATGACGTTCCCTCACATTAACTTTAATGTAATTTACATTTGCTAAATGGACATTTTAAGGCAACAACAATGAAATATATATACATTTTGTATGCTGTTAACCATAGCTAGTTTTATATGCAGTATATATATATTTCGTCAAGTTAATTTTCAATTCAGCACACTAACTTGAGCTGGTAGAATATTATACTTGAACGAATACATGTACTCCATAATGGGTATATATCATAGTCAATAATCAAACATAAGATATACTCGATGAATAGTCACGTGTCAGTTCATCTCAATACTAGTCACGTGTTAGATAATCTCCATCATTAGTCACGTCTAAGATGTTTTCTATCAATACTCAGGTGTCAGTTATTCTCTGTCAATGGGCAGTTGTTAGATATTCTTTATCAAAAGTCACGTGTTAGATATCCCCTATCAATAGTGTCGTGTTAGATACCTCTATGCATAGTCACGTGTTACATGCCCTCTATCATAAGTCACGTGTAAGATATCATCTGACAATAGTCACGTGTAAGATATCCTCTAACAATAGTCACGTGTAAGATATCCTCTAACAATAGTCACGTGTAGGATATCCTCTAACACTAGCCACGTGTTATTTATCCTCTATCCAGCTCAGCTTGAAAAAAAACAGCTTGTTTTTTTACGTGGTATTTGAATACAATTTATCTCCAACTACACCCCACTTTGTTGTTGAATCTAAAAGAATGAACACATTGAGTAGAATAGTTTATTTATTTTATAGTATTTTCCGCAAAAACGTTCCGGAAAAACAAAACAGATCCTATCTTCCATCCACTGTTTCCGTGTCGTGAAGTCTGGCTCATCAGGTTATTCGTATTTGTGAACGACAATGTCAGTGGTGTCGTTAACGTTACTCCTGGAAATAATCATGGCGAATATAGATATATATGTATATAGCAAGACCTCATAAATTTAGCACAAAAATTCTGCCGATCATGTTAAAATCAGTATCAATTTCAAATGTCAATTTCATCAATCAACTATATTCAAAGTGTGAGACGACGATATCAAATACAAAAATAGTACCGTTTAAACATATAGTTGCTGTGACAAATAGACGAAAAACATACAGCATGATAATATCAAAATTAAAACACAGTACATTGATACTACATAATCAGTGTTGTATGATTATATATAAAACTGTACACACCCAATCCTGGTCGTCATCCTCCTCCTCCTCCTCCCCCGGGGCAGTCGACTTGAGTCCCATGATTTTGTCAGTCCAAGATCCGCCAACCTGTTCGCCGCCTGCAAAGTTGGACACACTGGCCGACTGACCCTCCATCTTGGCAATGCTAACTGTGAAGGGAGAGAAAGAAAGTAAGATTGAATCGTTACATGTAGTGTGTACATCCAGATTTCTATCATCTCTCGGTACCCTTTTTTACAACCTTGTTGTCAATGCTGAGAGGAAAACGTAAATATGCATCTGCTAACTCACTATAAAAGAGTTAGGTCTTTTTAAAGTACTTGGAATCAATAAAAATTTGTAAAAAAAAATAAACAAGACTTAAACATGTATGATATCAAATACTAGGGGCAATGCATATAACAATAATTTATATGAACCATCACTACAGAGCGAAACCATATAACATTTCTGTGTAATATTCACCACTTCAAAGGGAAACCACATAACAGTCCTTTAAAAAAGTCACCACTACTTAAGGAAACCACATACAAGTCATTCATAATATTCACCACTACTTAGGGAACCCATATTAAAGGGAAACCTTCACATGTTATTTATAATATTCACCACTCCTGAGGGAAACCATATAACAGTCCTTTATAAAATCCACCACTCCTGAGGGAAACCATATAACAGTCATATAAAACATTCACCACACCTGAAGGAAACCATATAACAGTTATTTATAACATTCACCACACCTGAGGGAAACAAACAATATAACAGTCATTTAAAACATTCACCACACCTGAGGAAAACCATATAACAGTTATTTATAACATTCACCACACCTGAGGGAAACCATATACCAGTCATATAAAACACTCACCACACCTGAGGGAAACCATATAACAGTCATTTATAATATTCAACACTAAAGAGGGACACCATATTAAAGGTTTTTGAATTATCCGTCCCCAGGAAGCCATACAACATGCTTCTATAATATTTACCACAAAGGGGAAACCGTATCTTATCATTGGCTTTTATAATAGTTATCACTAAGAGGAAACCCTAAATACAACCTGTTATATCCACTCATATAGGGGATATACATATTGTGGACTGGGGGTCATTTATTTACAGGTACATATGTCATTGTACTGATTCAGAGACTACTTACGGATATTTTAATATTGATACATCGAACCACTTGTTACAAATATAAGGCAGAGTTGTATTATTTACATATTACAGGTCCGTTTCCTCTTGATTTCACTCTGATAGCATCTCCTTCGGTTATCTCAAGTTTCTCAGTCTGATTCTCGGGTAACCATAGTGACAGACACTGATCACATCCTGAAGGTTGTTGTTTACTGGTCAGCCTCGTCAGCTCTTGATTGGCCAGCAAGTCTGCTGCTTCCTGATTGGTCAGACGGTCAGTCGGTCCCTTGGCTTCCACCTCTGTAGATAAACACGTGTTGATAAACACAGAATCATGCATTTATCTACTTATGTGATTAAAAAAACATATCACCATGTATTGATCAATGGTAAAAGTATGAATTGAGAAAATAATCTGAAGTGAACAACAATCATCAAAACATAAAAAAACGGTACAGATAATACAATCACATACACATCTGAGGTATAACACTGTTCTGACTGGGGAGGAGGGTTGAGCTTACTGCTCCTCACTAAAGATGAAGATTCATGTAGTCGGTTGTCACTTTCTAATTTACTGTAGTTGAGGTAGACAGTCTAAACTCTCACAATCAGTAGACTTTAGCTACCACTCCTCACTTTCGTATTTACAGTACAAATAAAGGTAGATGGTCCACTATTTCTTATGTATCAAATGAGATAACATGCCGCACTTTAGGTGATGTGGCGGCTGGTCCTCAATTTGAAAATAACAGTACGAAATGAAGTAGCTAGTGCTCATTATTTTATCTACAGTATGACATGAGGTAGTTGGTCCTCTCTATCTGATCTACAGTATGAAATGAGGTAGTTGGTCCACTCTATCTGATCTACAGTATGACATGAGGTAGTTGGTCCACTCTATCTGATCTACAGTATGACATGACGTAGTTGGTCCTCTCTATCTGATCTACAGTATGAAATGAGGTAGTTGCTCCTCTCTATGTTATATACAGTATGACATGAGGTAGTTGGTCCTCTTTATCTTATCTACAGTATGAAATGAGGTAGTTGGTCCTCTCTATCTTATCTACAGTATGAAATGAGGTAATTGGTCCTCTCTATCTTATCTACAGTATGAAATGAGGTAATTGGTCCTCTCTATCTTATCTACAGTATGAAATGAGGTAATTGGTCCTCTCTATCTTATCTACAGTATGAAATGAGGTAATTGGTCCTCTCTATCTTATCTACAGTATGAAATGAGGTAATTGGTCCTCTCTATCTTATCTACAGTATGAAATGAGGTAATTGGTCCTCTCTATCTTATCTACAGTATGAAATGAGGTAATTGGTCCTCTCAATGTTATTAACAGTATGAAATGAGGTAGTTGGTCCTCTCTATGTTATTAAGAGTACGAAATGAGGTAATTGGTCCTCTCTATCTTATCTACAGTATGAAATGAGGTAGTTGCTCCTCTCTAT